CGATACGTGTGCAAGTAATCGTTTGGCTAGTTTGTAACGCGTATTTAAATCGTCTCTTGTAATTCTGCAAGCCAGAATGTATTACGAACGCATGCATACACACATGTTCACCGCGTAGATAAATTACACGTATGCGCATTACCAACCAGTTTCCGTTACAGTAACCGTTGGGAAATCAGAAAATTATAGTAATTTTAGTAAGAATTAGTAAGAGAAAGAATAAAATACAAGCTTTATATTGCGCAAAGATTTTATTAGCGCGAGAATTAGTCTTTTTCAAACTCGATTCAAGTAGATTCCAGATCCCGTTCACAATGAATTAAAGGAGAAGCCATACAAATAAGCGAACATCAAAGTAAATCCGTGTCATTCACGCAATAAAGCCAGAAAGCATCTAATGAAAGAAATACGCGAACATTGAAAAAAGAGTTTGGTTGCATTAATTGAAATTCTGAAAAAGGAAACAAATTAGAATTTTCTGGTTAAATTTATAATAATCCTAATTAAAATAACTATAATTCTGATTGATATAATTAGAAATTAATCCATTTTCAGCCACACAGAAAAATATCATTCTATTGATAAGAAAAGTGATTATTTAATTTACTTTCTTCGTTTTAAGCAACATGATTAACTTCACAAAGAATATTTTCTTGATAATGATCTTAAAATATATTTATTATAAATTTTAGAAGAAACTCATTATTATGTACTCAAAATAAGAATTCATTTTCTTTTAAACATTACGAAATTGATCGAAGAAGTGACTTCATATATTATAATAAGCAAATTGAATTTGTTTTAATTTAATAATCTTTCGAATAAATTTGATGCTTGTGATGAACTTACGATAGATTTGCGAATATATACTTTTGAAAAATACTTGAACCAAGAAATATTAATGGACGCAATAATGTAATATCTCTAATACCGTAAAATGAAATTAATATACATATAATTTGAAATTATGTTTGACAAAAGTTAACGTACATTTATATCGTTGTCCAATACGTGCCCATGCGAACTGTCGCGAGTGATGCGAGCTTTTACGGGTACATGCGAGGCGGAAGTCAGGTGGGGGATCGCGTACGGACGATAAATTATAATTAGAATCGAGCCGAATATGACAATCTCTGGCGCGCGTGAATCATGTATTAACCCAGTCGCTAATGGGTATTAACCGTGAGCCGTTTAAAATTACAACTCCTCGACTCCCTACCTCTGTATACTCGTCGCCACGGACGAGATAGCGAAGCGGAACGCTTTATCCCGGTATACGGTAACCGTCCGGTAGCAGCGCGCGGTTCGACGCTTCCGGGATCGCTTTCCACGCTGCACTTACGATACTTGCAGATTTAATTAGCGCGAAATTCCTTGACAAATAAATCGCAATAGCAGCTGTGTGTGATATGCGCATACCTGTATATATAGATAGAATTCATTGTCATAGATAGAATTCGACGTCATTTGCATTTTGTATTTGAATTAACAATTTGATATAAGTAAAAGAATTTCAAATGAAGTTGTTATGTGTATCATAAATTTGAAGATTTTTCATTATTTATTATTCAATTAATTACGTTTTTAATAGTAATTATCCAAATATTTATTACGTTTTTAATTCAACTTGACAAAGACGAAATGTTTGGCATTATTAATACTGTCGCGAATTCTTAAATGTTATTAGATTTTAGTTTAATATTATTTTGTAGCGGAAAAAAAAAATAAATTATCTTAAGTCATCTAAAATTACAAATTTTCCTTGATCGCAATTTTCAAAGACTCGTTCGCGGCAATTCGGGTATGTCACCAACATCAATACTTACGACAGGAAACACCAGGGAATTTAATTAACGAAAAATGCTTTGACTGGCGAATCACAAAGTTCATAGCGAACTGAACGAATAAAAGGAATGATTTTTCTTCCCCGACTTCGCGCAATATGACAGAGTAGCTCGTAAAAGCGAGACTTCAAAGAAATTAATAAAAAGAGCGTCTAAAAAAAAGAGGTAATAGTATTTAAAAATTATAAATATCGCCATATCTAAACAAACTCAATTTACTCTCATCGGTAATGTCGCGATGACTTCTTTTTTACTTTGTTCCTTCATTTGCATTTCGCTTACTGCGAGTTAAAATCCAATTTTAGCCTCCATCCGGATGAAATTACGAATGCGCAACCTTTTAACAGAGCTAAAAAGAAGCGCGATACTTGCGATTTAATTAAATCATGAAATATGACGACTGAGCGGTGGTAATTAAGTATCCTTTTAGAGGACTTACTGATACCAATTTACTCTTTCACGTCGTACGTCGTGGGGACACTTATCCCGCATCCCGAGACGCATTTTATCCCGTGGCCGCACATGCAGCTTCCGGGATTGCAGTTTACACTATGGTGGTACTTCGAGATTTAATTAACGAGCAACACATCGACCGCAAGTGTTCATCGAACGTCAAACCAGATCGCCTTGTGTTTCAATCATGCGCGATCGATGTATTAAGAAACGATGAGCGGTTAAAAAAAATGGATCATGTATAACCGGTCGAAATATGATTTAATTAGATCGTAGCTTTAATTCACGAATAGTCGCGTTCATCATACATTACAATTTTGCAATGTGTCAAATATTTATATTTATAATTAACACAGTTTTTCGTAAATTAATTATAAATACATTTAACTTCTCTTTGTTTTCGTTAGTTAAGATGTCCAATTTCTCTTTAATTTGATTAAAGAATAATAACTTCTAAATTAATACTTTTTTAATTTAATAAAATAAAATAAAATAAAATAAAAAAATTAGTTGGGCCAGTCGTAATAAAATCCATTTGTTACGCGCTTCACCTTGTACAATTTGTGTAATTTTATTCTAAATCATGTCCTGCAAAAATTGTACAAGGCAATACGAACAAAATTTTTTCGTTGTATTTTTTTTCTCTTGCATTTCACTCATCCAACTCGACATTAGTTACGGCCGAGTTAATTTTATTATTGTAACGACGAACACATTGCTGACGACGAAACACACGTGAGTAAGAGCGCGTAATTCCGGTCCGAGATATTAATAATGGTATTGTGAGCTTCAAATCTGAATTTCGAGAACATTGTCCGCGAGTTCGCGACCAACATCACGCGCTGTCCTCTACGCGTAAATTATGCACAAACTGTGATCATTAAAAATTTATTAAACACGGTTACAGCGTTCTCGGGACTCAAAGAATATTATCATGCGCGCTTTGCAAGTCGCGCGCTAGTCGCTCATTACAGAAGACAATTACGTTGTCTTCCTGTTCTTTTCACCGAGACGGACAAGACAGAAAAAAAGGTGGAGCGACGGATAGTATAATGGTGGTATCGCAAGTCATAAAAGTGCATTGTCATGCACTTGCAATTTACATAATTTTTGACATATTTTGTCGCACGCATCGATAACGAAAAGGTCGAAGACCCGAGTGATAAATCGGTGCACACTCTAAACATTCAAAGCTCAACACATCGTAATAAAATCGCGCGATGTTTCGAAGCATACTGAACTCATTTAAAAATATAATCACTTCATTTTCCATGCGACCAAAACGCTCGATATAAACGTTTCTATAATACAGTTTTCATTAAAATTTTACCGTGCGCAGGTTATAATATGAGAGCGGAGTAATTATATGTGTATTCATTATATTCCTGATGACCTGCAGAACCTAACAAAAATAATTTAGAGGAGAAATTCGCACGAGGAGAATGCGCGCGCTTTTATTATAATAACCCGATATACGCGTGTGCGTGATCGGCCGTCCTTTGACGCCGCCGCGTATCTCTATTAAATCAATATTTATAACGGCATCGGACGCCCAAGCCGTGACATAATAACCCGACGTAATTTTAATTAGCATTATTGCGCAAGATGTTCGACCGTATCGAAACAGGCTTTTAACGAGGGTAGTTTACGAGTATCGAATTACTTTACGGAGATTAAAATCGCCGTCTAACGAGGTCGCCCGGTGGTATAAATCGCTGTCTTAAAGATCTTCACGCCGCACGTGTCACAAGGGAAAATATAGAAGAGAGAAAAAAAGGGTTGGAAGAATGATCATTAGTAAACATGACGACGGAAAAAAAAAACCAGATAAGACGGATATTAGTAGGGGATCAAAGAGAAAAGGTAATGTGTACGCATAATATCTGACGTGCTCGTTAGAGACGAGAGACGATTATTTCACTTATTCATCTTGGCGAAAATGTAGAAAATAATGGAGAACGACGACGCAGAGAAACGAGCGAGCGTGAGTGACTCTTTTACAAGTATAGTTAACTCTTAGACCACAAAGAATATCAGACTTTGTTCCCTCCAGGTAAACTGTAATCTTTGATTACGTAATACGATACAATATTGTAAACGTATGTACATAAGAAATGAGAATCTGCGTTGGAACATTGCAGAAATAAAGACCCTTGCAATTAATGCACACCAAGTAATTAAAAGCGAATAATATGCGAACGAGGAAAGAAGATTCGTAAAATTGCAAAAGTAATGTAAGGATCCGCGTAAATCTTTTTACGTATTTTTTAATTAAAGTCTCTCTCTCTCTCTCTCTCTCTCTCTTTCTCTTTCTTTCTCTCAGAAAACATAAGTACAAAATGTAGAAATTTACAGACTAAACGGAAGGTTATTTCTAAGCTTAATATATTATATAATATATTATAATATATATTATATAATAATTTCAATATCCGAAACTTAGTAACTATAATAGACGCGGCAGCAACAAATTATGTTAAAACTAATGAAAGATTGCAGGTAAAAAATTGAGGAAAACAACAGCATGGATTAATAGCGCATTGTAGTCGTCGTTTGTATTCGTGCGCATAAATGATCTCGTTAAAAATTTATTAATCACGACCGAGAACGCGAAGATCAAAGAGCAGAAAGTAGGTAGTATGCATGCGCATTATTCGGCGTATGCCGTGCTCGTTACGGGGTAGGATAATTCGATCTACTCACCTCTACGAGGGTGATGAGGATGATGAAGAGAGGTGGTGGGCAGCATGTGTAGTGATCGGCGTAGTATTTTCGGTCCCGCTCCTCCGTGAGGAATTCATCGCCGATCATGCGGACCATCCTGAAAGCACAAACGAATCGCAATAAAGTTTAAAATCATATGCAACGATATTTGCACGCGTTAAATTAATGAATTGTGAATATAAAACTATATATATTCTAATATATAGCGTATCTCGCTCTTTCCTTTTCTTTTTCAACTGTATAAAAAGACCTTTTTTATCAAATAAATATGCTGTTATCTAATTCGATTTACGCAAACAATTCTGATAAATTTTGTATTCATTACAATAATAATGTGCATATCAAAAAATGGTACCTACTTGTGTGTAAATGCGTGTAAATCGAATTTATTCATATTACTGCGAGAAGCATCTACCAAATATAATATGTAATTTTCCATTAATCAGTTCATTGTACCGTGTAAAAATATCATGCATAACTATAATTATTATGTATTAGCAAATAAATTATTCCCTTGTCGCTAGAGGTAAATGTGTTTTTCAAGATGTAATTCATAATAGCGTTTTATGTACACTATTGCTGGGCTGTGCGCCAATATAAACGCAATCGAATATTTTCAATTAAATCTCACCATAGTATTTCATTTCGGAAGAGTTCAACACGAAAAAAATAACCTGCAGCGCGCGCGATCGAATCTTTTGAGCTAAACTTCGCGAAACGACTTCGTTTACGTGCGTTGGACATAAAAAAAAATATATAAAACAACCAATCTATAAATTGAATGTAAACGCGGTTATATTCCCACAAAGTAATCTATATAGTATTTACCTAAAACGTACAACCGGCATTTACTTCAATAATTTTTGCTCTTCCAAAAAGTTTTTTAATTGAACGAGAGTAGTAGTTACAGCGTGTTTGATTACACCGCGCGAAATACAAGTAATTCGAAAAAAAAAATCCAGCTGTTCTTTTGTAAGATATTAATAACCAGACGATTTAGTGAAAACATTCGACAGATACCTAAATTCAAAATGGCGACCAAAAAATAATTGTTCACATCCAGAAATGTTTTCAACAATTAATTCAGGTTATTCTATTGTTCCAATTGGTAATAACTCGGTACAATAGCGCAGAGTGAACAACAAAGTCATCATTTTGAACATTGTTATTTTGGAAAGCGTCTTTTCGTTGATAACAGCGCCGGCTGCCTCGTAGCGCTATTGTTGCTACAATTTCATGTTGCATCTATCAACGGATGAATACTCGGAGTTAGAACGCGCATGTAATCGGTAAACGCTACAGTAACAAGTTATATTCAGGCAATTAAAAGAACAAAAAATTTTTTCCCCCACCTCGTCGGATATGTATCCGTAGTCAACTAAAATTTGTAGCGTAATCGAGTTTAATTAATGAGAATGTAATTGGAGGTTTAAATTTACGAAGCTCTATTTCTAGAACGGACAGACGAAAAGTATAAACGCGGAAAACTTAATTGCGCGCACAAACAGACACACATCACGAAAAAAAGCGTAATTATGCTTAACAGTAATGTAGTTGAAACAAAATAACAAAAATGACACACCGCAAACGTTAAAGAGAAAATTTACCTAGTTTATAATTTACTTCGTGAAAATTAAAATTTTGTAGGAATTAATATTTATAATATTATTTAATAATTACAGTGTATTATAATCATATACATAAATATATAATCGTATACATAAAATATAGCCATCAGATTTATACGATTCCAAAGCCGAGATTCAAGATAGGATTTAAGTGATCACTTAAAAAATGGGGTTACACTTTTTGCACAAGACTACATAACTTGAAAAATAATCCGTAGGAAATCTTCCAGAGAGTATTCTAAAACTAATCGCCAGCCTTCTGTAGCAATTTTAGTCTTACAAGGCGTCTCGTTAATCGTCGCCAGGGGTAGCGAAATAATGAGGAATTAACTTCGGCGAACCTCTTCCGCCGGTCGATTCGCGAAGAAAAGAAAAATACTCTCGCGAACAATTACGCTCAAACTCTCTGCTACCTATAACCTTCATTATCCTAGAGTATTCTTTTCCCCTCATTTACGACTTTCGTTACGAATGAACGCCTGGAGGAAACATTGCCGGAAATCTTTTCTAAAGAATAGCAGTAAGTGATAAAAGATTCTTTGCATACAAATGTTAGTTATTTATTTATCCCGACATTTGCTTCAATTCTTCATTTTTTATAGTGTCATCAAATCACTTGAATTTTTCCAAAATGAATTCCTTACATATAAAAGATTTCATAAAATTATTATACGAAATACATTAAATTCATAACGTTAAATTATACTTAATTTGAGTTATTCTTAATCATTTTTCTATAAGTCGTCACTGTTTCTAATCAATATATCGTAATTTGACTAAAACAATAAAATTAAACAATTTAATTAAATAAAAAAAATGTATGTGTTCGATTCAAATTTAGTTTATTATTTATTAAGTGTATATATTAATGTTGTTTACTTTGGAATCAACACACCACAGAAATGGACTAATTTACATTTTGATACACATGGAAGTTAAAAATAACAAAATGTTATTTGATCTGACTGGGGTCAAATCCATGATATCAGGCAGTGTAATAAATAGATACATGTCACAGAAAATCATTTTTTCGAATTGCTGTAATCGTAATAATTACAAGTTCTCAAAAAAAAAAAAAGGTTTCGCATGTCAAAATAAAAAATCCAAAAAGTTACAAGTTTCTTTGAACTTAAGCACTATTCATTTTCCCCGCTTTTTTTTCGTTCCGATCGTGACGACGACGACAATGGACGACGATGGAGCGGATAAAATAATGCACGAGACGAGGCCGTCGGTTAAGCATACAAACGACACTGATAAATCGAGTACGCTGATCGCGGGTCGTGGAAAAAATTCGATATCACGTACGAGCATGGTAATAAAAAACACAATCTAAATTCGGACGTGGCGCGAAGGGAAGGCGGCACGACGATGTGGGAGGAAAGTGGCGCGGGCGGTACGGTGTAAGCGCCCTTATACCTGGCTTCTCTCCGCGATGCTATCTCTCCCGTTACGTAGGAGCGTAGAATAATTACGAAGAAATATTGGCCCGTAACTCAGTCCACTATCCATAATATCTGCAACGTTTATGGCGCCAGGGAGATAAACCTCCCGTCTCCCGCTATCTGGTGGCGCGTGCGCCACCGCTGCGACCACCGCACCACCACCGTTTCGATTCGTTTCCCGGTTGGGTTTCGAGATGCACGTGCGGATGGTGAGTACTTGTGCACGCTGAGTACTTACAGCACATGCACTTACGTGACGGCCGGCGCGCACGAGTACCGCGATCGGCTTGATCAGCGATTAGTCGAAGCACGAGCATTTCATTTCATTTTGCCTGAAGACGAGTTAAAGTAAAACACTTATTAATTTAAACTTGTGAAATTAACTTCAAATTAAAACTTCACAAATTTTAATTTATTTAATTAAACGTGAAATTATCGTTAACTTCCAATGAATTGAGCTGTTGACAGTATAATTAAATTTATTTAATAATATTGAAGTATTGCAATGTGTCTGCATATAAAGTAAAATTATGTACTGAATACTTTATATTTTATATCTGATATTTTTATGCAAATATTATAACAATGAGCGATGTATTAACTCTTTTGTTTTTTTTTTAATAATCGATATAATGTAACAAATAATAATATAACATATAAAGAGAATTTTCAATAGGAAACAGCAGGAAATAAGATTTTAAAGATCTGTTAAATTTAAACGTAATTTAATCAAAAAAATCTCATCTTGTTTATATCGACTTTATTTTACCAATTTTTACGTACTAATTTTACTACATTGATAAAATATTAATATATTCCATGGCAGTTGTATAATATCATGGATATAAATTATAAACGCTGTGGAAAAAGTAAGCATAAAATACATAAAACATCGGACACATATGTTTACATCGCCATATTATTCAAGCCCTAGTAAACATTCGTTACAAACAGTTTCAACTAAATAGTTTCATGGCTAATGGAAATCTGTGCTTGTAATGAGCATTTTATTTTCATATAATCGTGACATCCACGCCAATTAAAAGGCATCAGTGCGAAAATCTATTCTGCGTGACACGCGTATCATGAGATACATGTATTGCATCTTGCCCTTTGTGAAGGGAAATATGTATATTTATATACAAAATATTTATATTTATATCTATACATATATAATATAAAATGTGAGTTACCTTCATACCTCAGTAAATACATAATCTCTTTCACAGTCAATCTCTTTAAGTTACTCCAGTTCACATACTGATGAACATCTGTTATCGTTTCACAGATATATAATTTACTGCTGAAAATCGCATTTGAGAAGAATACGTTCGAACAAATCTCCTTTTATAATAATTCCATGCAAATCCAATGACGACATTCGTGATGATAAAACGTTAAACTTGTGCTAACTTCCTTTACTCTTCGCGCAAATTAAATCTTTTTAAACTGAAAGTTAACTTTAAAGTACGACAAAAGAAGATATAGAAAAGATTTTCTTATTGTTGTATAATTAAAGAATAAACTAAATAGATAATATGAATGATCGAGGAGATATCATAATCATATTTCTACAAATATTTATGTTACATATTTCAATATCTAAAAGAAAAATTAATTATTAAAATTAAATTCATAAATTTCGAGGTATACATATATATACATATATATATATATATATGTTTTAAATTACGTACTTGAAAGTTAAAGCGGAAAGATGCCCGCTGTGCTGCAATGAAGCAACGAGTGGCATCTTCCGTCAGTTAAAAAAAAAAGCGAGAGAAGGAAAGACCGGAAACTTTCTTTCTAATGTAAAAGCTGGCAGTTCGCGGTAAACGCACATTTAATTGCAGGTATGCCGCGCGAGACATTGTAGATCGCACGAGCGATTTCCAATTAGCGATATGACTGATATACTAGGGTTCAAGGAAACAGGTCGAGAAAGGGGTCGTCTGCGTATGAAATATTGACTCGAAGTACAGGTGGTTATGTGCACGCTTGATGCCTGCTGCTTATAAATCGAA